TTATTATTATTATTTTTTTTTGTATATTTATGGTAATTCCTAAACTCAAAATGTAAAAAGGAAAATATGTAGCCAGAAAATCGGACACATTCAGTCATATTTATGTGAGTAAATTGTCGGGATACCATATTTCACTTACACGAATATGATAGGATCATTTTTGGACTCTTTATCATTAATTTTATTTAAATAATATTAATGAATCCAAACGTTTTAAGTGTGTCTAATTTGTATATGTCTTGATAGTTCACTGAGTTAATACTTTCATTAAATTTTGGAGTATCAGACTTCAATATTTTGTAAAAAAAAAAAAAAAAAATCTAATTTTGCATGATTTTAATTTCAAAAAATTGTGAAAATTGATTTAGTTATGAGCCTTCTAATCTATTATCTAACTCATTAGTGCACTCACGCCCATTCTCTTTATAAGGGTTAATTACACTGGCCTTTAGATTTGGTCAAATATCACACTTAAACACCTTTTAAAAATAATTATCACTCACATTAAAAATGTATGATTTGTTTTTCACTCACACACGCTGTATTAGACCATTTTTTACATATAAAAAGACATTGTTACTCATTTGATTTTTTGTTTGATTGGCTACAGTGTTGGTTGATGATGAAAATGACTTTTCTACCCATTTGTCACCCATTGCTCATATTTTTCCAACTACATGATGTGCTTATTTCATATTTTTCCAACTACATGCTTCAACATAATACATAATATGTTTAATTTGGGAAACTTTTTCTAATATTATACATATATATAATACATAAAATTTACATACAATTTATTTAATTTTCAAATATATTTAATATTCACTTACAATTTTATTTATTGTTAATATTATTATTTATGTAAATAAATAAATTTGAATTTAAATCTATAATTAAATTTAAAAACATGAAATTTAATATTATAAGTATAAATTTTTTTAACATATATTTATATAAAAATTTATATATATATATATATATATATATATATTTAAAAATTAAATTAAATTATATTTAATGTTAACATTATTTGATGCAATTCATGTTTGAATACTACATTATCAACAGAGAACAAAAAACCCATTTCAACACCAATAAGCAATTCAACATGGATAGGCAAAAAGTAAATGTATAAAATATTCAAGTAAGAACAAACAAATCTGAGTTAATCAAGCAAGAAATCTATGGCTGAAACAGAACAAAGTAAAGTAAATTAAATTATATTTACCGTAAAAAGAGTAAACTAAATTATAAAATTAGTAATGTATGTATCCGAACCCAGGATCATGAATGATATCATCACTTAATCAAGGAACTATGTAAATATGATGATAAATATTGAGTATATAAATACCCGGTGTATTAGCTATATATATTTTTTTTCCTTTCGTTAGTAAGAAACCCATTTTTTGAGGAAGTGATTGCATCAGAAGAAGATGGACCATGGGTGGTGAGAATTTTTCTTGAGAATATGTATCTTTGATTCGTGAATACACTATGAGTCTATTACATCTGTAAATGTATATAAAAGAAACACTGTTTTTTAGAAGATAAAGAGAGAGACAGAGAAGGGAAAAATGACAAGGCAAATGGAAAAATGACATCTAGAAGCCTCCCTTCAGCAGATTGTTAAGCGGGTAGGAGGGAGTAATAATTAGGGATAAAATGGTCATTTAAGTTATTTGATATTTCAAAATAAAAAGATTTAGAAAATTAGGGACAAAGTTATCTCTTCACATGTTTTTAATGTGTTAGTGATGAAAAAGTAAAATTAGCGTGAGATGATGTCATTATAATTAACCCGAAATAATAAAACATGTAACTTTTAAATAATTATAACAATAATAATAATAAAACATGTAGTACGAGGACAAATGATAGTACATGTCCATGGATTTGGAATCATTTCCGATATTTGTTACTTTGATTGTACTCAATTGGAGGCCATCGTGTTTGTATTATATTATACCATACTCTAATTGCCCCTTAAGCACCATCAACATATGTTGTTTCCTGGGATTTTCATTTGCTTTAACTTTTAAAATCATGATTAATCATATCTCTTTCCAATAACATTCTTTTCTTTAATTTCAGGACCCGCTGTCACATCTTTTTTATTTTTCATAATAAAAATGTTAATAATTAGAAAGAAAATAATCCAATTACTTGAATAATATAATAAATAAAATGTACTAATTATTGACATTTACATTGCCATGCTAATAATAGACTGTTACAAAGAAAACATCGTTTTCTAATATCTAAAACAATCATGATTTATTTGAACAACATAAGCATAATCGTTATAAAATTGCAATTTGTAATTTGCAACGGCAAACTCCCGTCACAAATAATTAACAATAATAAATATGTCTCATTTTAAACAAAAAAGACATTATCATTTTAAAAATTATAAAAAATATCATCAAAATTATATTTAAACAAATGGGGGATAATATGATACTCAAGTTCCAGTTCAGTTGAACATGGTCTTTCTTGAAAATAATGAAACTATAGATTTAGGATTAATTAAAAATAAATAATAATTAATTCACACATGCGCCAGTCACCACCCACATGCAAATGCTTTTTGGACGTGGGAAAATAATAATTTGACTTTGAAGTAGGACTTTAAGGCCCTTTGTTTTAATAGACAAAAACTATAATATTTTACAAACGCAATTATATATTTAAAATATATATATATATATAAAATACAATGACATCTCATGAAGTTTGACATAAAGATAGTCAGATACAAGTTTAGACAATGACATCCCCTCAAATTTGATAAAATTGACAAAGACGTCATGACAATGGTGAATTAAATTTATTACCCATTGATATAAAATCGATAAATACAATTGACTTAAATATCCTTGAATCAAATAGGTTTCAATGGGTTATCGAATACAACCTATCTGAGAAACTCAATTTTTCTCTAAAACTACCATACACCCAGACGGGCCCCAAAGATTCACTCGGCCATGACATCCACCACCACACCCATATACAAATATATATGTGTATAATGAATGTATAAGGGTAAAAGCGTCATTTAAGAGTTTTGATATTTTATAATTTAAATTAATAAAATATTAAAGAACAATATTGACTTTTTATAATTTTTAAGAAATTATCTGGTTCTATTTTTTGACAAGAAAGTATTATTGTCCGAAAATAAATTAACTTATATTTCGCTGTTCTTATGTCAAATCTCACTATTGCATTTTACCCAAAAAAAAAATATATAATAATAATAATAAATTTATTAATTAATTAATAGCTATTTGGTAGTTGTAAAGTTCAGGTCTGCACTGTTTTAATAATTGTGTGTTACTGTATGACATGAGAAGCGCACGCTCATGTTTCCCACAGTCAAAGAAGCTTCATTTATGGAATCATCATTAGTTAAACCGTGTTTAAGGACAGGAGAAATGTTGGAAATGTAAAATTTCAAAACAAACATTCTTTTCACATCAAATGGGTAATTTGGAAACTTTGTAATGCACTTCTAAATCCTAAACTAACCCTACTATTTTTCTTTAAATCACTCCAGTTGGGTCTTCTCCTAACTAATTTTGTCAAAATAAGTGGAATATACTCTAAAGTACATTAACATCTTTATAATTAATTCTATCATTGAGATAGTCAAATTCGTAGAACACTTAACTCTATGGGTGCACTCGTATTCGAATCTTTCTCTCTAATTTGTCAAGAAAAAAAAAAAAAAATAGTGACTAATCGGCCAGTGACTTAGCTGTATCAGCCTCTTATCTTTCAAAGGTCTTATCTCTCAAAGGGAGGTCAGGGTTTCAACTCTCAAAAGAGACAAGTGTATATAAGTACCAACTAGAAAAAAAAAAAAATAGTGAGAAAAAAAATAGTGAAGCTATTTTCCATAATACAAGTATCAAACACTCTAATACTTCCGACAAGGTGAAATGTTTTTTTTTGTCCAACTTCTTTAAGAATTTCATAATCTACCAACTGACACATACAGTCTTTTCATCTCACATGCACGAATAATTATTAAAACAAATTTATAATAGAAGTTAACTTTTTATAAAGAGGAGTAATTTTATAGAACAAAAAAGAAAGGTAATCTACTCAAATTCAAAAGAATAAAGTAACTAATCAACAAAATACAATATTGGTTAATAAATATATTTACGTGGAATTCACATAATGTCATTTTATTATTATTTTTATTTCGTTTTAACTCCAAAATAAATGTACTTTTTTTAAAAGGTAAAGGTAAAGTGAAAAAAAAAAAAAAAAAAAAACTTCTATTATATACAAAATATGCAAAATATCTTATGGTTCAAAATACCCTCTTACATTTTTCAAATTAAACAAATAAAGAACTAAAATACCTAAAATGCATTTAAGACAAAATAAAATGTTAAAATAAATAATAAAAACAAACAAAAAAATATTATGGAGTTAAAACGATTTTAAATTTACAAAGGAACTGGGCATTTTAAATTTTTTTTATAACAATCCCCAAAAAATTATTTTAATTTTAATTTATTTATTTATTAAAAAATAAATTACCTAGAGGGCATTTGGGATTTTTATAAATAAAAATGTTTGAGATTGTTGATCAATCGACAATTTGTTATAAATTTTCAAAATACAAGCGATGTGTATCTTGCATATTTTTTTGTACTGCAATAATTTTTATTTTTATTTTTATTTTTCTTTTTATTATTTTTATTATTATTATTTTTTACACTTTTCCCTTTTTAATTTTTTTTATTTTTTATACAGATATCAACCATTTTTCATGTAGAAGTAAATGGAAAGTATACAGCGTTTGTACACACGACACATATACATAGCTTTATCAAACAAAGCTGCGCAAAAACGTTTCCAACTAACCCTCAACGTCCAACAAATGAAGTTCTTATTTGACTCAACCATGGTAACTTTTTAATCATAACCTATTAACCATAGTCTACATATACAGTTAAGGATAAAGGTTACAGCCTCTCTCTCTAGTCCTCTGTACAATATCGTCCGTAAACATTTCCGTGACGAGGTTTGATAAACATGTGACGCTATATGTGTCAATGAAATGACACCAAGTCACTGTGAAACTCAATATCACCGTGCTCTATATCTAAAACTTCAATTTGCTACAACGAGAGGGAGGTTTTCATTGTCGTTTTTCAAATTACCGACGTTTGTTTTCCGGGAAAACCATTTCCCAATCGGTCTGTCACTTTCCCGGAATATTATTCAGCACAAAGGGTGTTTCTTACTTTTCTGGTGTGTACGCTCTTTCATCTTTTCTCGTTTATCTACTGTATTATTTATCATATATTTATGTTCATATTTCTCTGGGTTTTCTTTTAAATAGATAGATTAAGTTTAGAGCGGGTGAGATCTGAAACTAGAGGTATGACGAATTGAGAATTGAAAAAGGAAGATCTAATGGAGTTCAAACTAAGATGTGTTTGTTACTGATTTATTAGTTCATCTGTTGAATGTATGTAGTTGTTTCGAAATTGAGGGAAGGAACTGGATTTATTTTTGCTGTTTTGGAGACCAGATTTGAACTGGGTACTGAAATTCCAATTCGTTTTGATTGTGGGTGTTGTTTTGTTTTAGGATTTAGAGATGAAAATGGAAATGGGTATGGAAGGTGTAGTGTGGAATGATGAGGATAAGGCCATGGTTGATTTGGTTTTGGGCACTCGAGCATTTGATTACCTGATGTCGAGCTCTGTTTCGGCCGAATGCTCATTAATGGCTGTGGGTGGTGGTGATGAGAATTTGCAGAATAAGCTTTCAGATCTTGTTGACGGCCCAAACACGGCCAACTATAGTTGGAATTACGCCATTTTCTGGCAGATTTCGCGGTCCAAGTCTGGTGATTTGGTTTTAGGATGGGGAGATGGGTCTTGTAGGGAGGCAAAGGACGGGGAAGAGTCTGAAGTTCCCCGAGTTGTCAATCTCCGGCTGGAGGATGACAAGCAACAGAGGATGAGGAAAAGGGTACTTCAGAAATTGCATACATTGTTTGGGGGTTCAGATGAGGATAGTTATGCCTTTGGATTGGATAGGGTAACAGATATTGAAATGTTCTTCCTTGCTTCCATGTACTTTTCCTTTCCCCGAGGGGAAGGGGGTCCGGGGAAGTGTTTTGGATCAGGGAAGCATATGTGGCTCTCCGAGGCATTGAAGTTTTCATCTGATTACTGTGTCCGATCATTCCTCGCAAAGTCTGCTGGTATCCAAACTATTGTTTTGATCCCAACTGATGCTGGGGTAATTGAATTGGGATCAGTTAGATCAATACCGGAAAGCTTAGAGGTGTTGCAGTCAATAAAATCATGGTTTTCGCCCTTTGCGTCTCTCTTCAGGGCCAAGCCGATGACACTCTTACAGCCGATGACTGAGAAGAAAGATGGGAATTACCATTTCTCCAATTTTGCTTTGGGGGAGAGACTGGATGGAAACCCAAAGATTTTTGGGCAGAATTTGAACTCCAGTTTTTCACAGTTCAAGGAAAAACTAGCTGTTAGGAAAGCAGAGGAGAGGCCATGGGAAGTGCATCCAAATGGGAATAGGATTCCGTTGCCAAACACTAGAAATGGTTTTCATTGTTCAAATTGGACACAGTTCCATGGTATGAAGCAGGGGAGGGCTGCGGAAGTTGTCGGTCCTCGGACTCCAACAAGTAATCTCCAAGGTCTTGTTAATGGTGTTGGGGAAGAATTTCGGCTTAATCAATACCAGCCACAGAAGCAGGTGCAAATGCAAATTGATTTTGGAGGGGCTTCTGCAAGGCCTTCACTGATCTCTCAGCCAGTTATTGTTGAATCTGAGCATTCAGAGGTTGAGGCTCCATGCAAGGACCAGCAGGCAAGTGCAGCTGAGGAAAAGAGGCCTCGGAAAAGGGGCCGAAAGCCAGCTAATGGAAGAGAAGAGCCCCTCAATCATGTTGAGGCAGAGAGGCAGCGGCGTGAGAAGCTGAACCAGCGGTTCTATGCATTACGCGCAGTTGTGCCCAACATCTCAAAAATGGACAAAGCTTCCTTGCTGGGAGATGCCATATCTTACATCACTGAGCTTCAGAAGAAGCTCAGTGACATGGAATCGGAGAGGGAAAATTTCTTGAGCACTTCAAAAGATTCATTGGCTTCGGAAACTAACCCAATTTCAGAAAATCAATACCGAGTTCCAGGCATCGAAATCCAAGCTGCCCATGATGAAGTTACTGTAAGGGTGAGCTGCCCTTTGGATACTCACCCTTTATTGAGAGTCATCCAGACATTCAAAGAGGAGCAGATCACAGTTGTTGAGTCAAATCTTGCCGCGGGGAGTGACATGGTGTATCATACATTCGTGATCAAGTCTCAAGGATCTGAGCAGCTGACGAAGGAAAAATTGGTGGCTGCATTTTCCGGTTCATCCAACTCTTTGTAGTCAATATTTTTGATGGGATAATAAGAAATTGCATTAATATAGTTTGTAGGCATAATATGTAGTGAAGAACCCATTCAAAGGTTTCTGCAGTTGTTTCTATATGCAGAAAGGGATGGTAAAACGAACAGCAACACAAGCTAGAAGTAGAAAATTACTACCTATCAACCATGTAGGGTACAAAATTTTCCGTGGTTTATTTATAGCATACATATTTTGTCATAAACAACTATTCTTGGAAGATGAATCTACTATTGTTTCTTTAGAAGCTAATGTTACTATTTTTCTGCTTGTTGAGTTGTTTCTTTAATCTTGTTTTGTTTATCTTCGCGCTTTCTTCCGAGTTTCTGTGAATGAATAACATATTAGGTTACTTTTTTTCTGATTTTCAAAGGCTGCTGTTCTTCTCTATATGACATTCAGAAGGTTGTTTAAAGTAAATCCTACATATATGTTTTGTTAGGATTTAAGTGGAGTTCCAATGGCCAAATAGTATTGCTCTGTTTTTCGGATTAGATTGTTTTTGCCTAAAGAACCATCTTTTGATGCTCAAATGTCTTGTAAGATATATGAGGATGTAGAAATATCATCAAATAATTATTTGGGTTGGTTTTTCATCCTCTTGTTACTTTTATTCATTGAACTTTATAGAAAAGTTTGTTATTGCTTCATGCTTACCATTATTTTTAAGTTGCACATTTTCTAGGAAAGTTCTTTCAACAACTACACGTTTTTTCTTACTATATATGTATGTATGTATGTATGTGTGTGTAATTATGTATATTTAGTTGTGTTGGTTTTTGCATCTTCTTGTTACTCTTTTTTTTTGGACTGAATCTTGTTAAATTTATTCTTTGGGCTTTATTAGAAAAATTGGTTATTGCTTCTTGGTTGAAGGGTGAGGAAGGAGTTGTTAACCAGAATCAATTCGCTCTTTATTGATGCAATGCTTACCATGCTTTTTATGGTGCACATTTTGTAGGAATTTTCTTTCCATTTGCAAAGGATCTTGTTATCAAGAATGGCTACTACACGTTTTTTCTTACTATATATATATATATATATATATATATATATATGCATGCTGTGATCCTGTGGATGACAATACATATTAAGAGATCGCATGTAAAAGATATGAGATTTGTGGGGGGACAGATTTGTCAATGAAAGCGACTATTAGATATCTCAAAACATGTGACATGTAGGGGACAAATAAAAAATATCAGAATATAAATTCCATGGTGGTGATGTTTAGTTTTACAAGAGAGAAATTAAGAGTGGCACTGATATATAAGAAAAAGAGATAAGAAAAAAAAAAAAAGGTGCAAGGACCCAACTCAATGCAATATGAGGCCTTAAATGAAAGTCAAAAAAATCCAAGTTGTGACCTTTAATATTTAATTTATGCCAAAAAAATCCAAGTTGTGGCCTTTAATATTTAATTTATTACTATAGATCACATTAATAATATATATATATATATATATCATTATTCTATTATTTTAAGATGTAAAATTACTAATTTAATTTTTGTATCAAGTATTTATAATATATATATTTTTTCAATAGATTATATAGTTACTCCATTTATTCTCTCTCTCTGGCTGGGACTCCTAAAAAATGTAACATAGTTGCTCACTTGGTAAGCAAAAAGGCTTTTGAAACCTGTTGTGGTGATTTGGAGTGAAACATTTGGCTTCCGTCGTTGTTAAATGCTCTTCTTTCAAACATATATATATAGTCTTCTCTTTAGTGAAAATATTATATATATATATATAGCTACTCCATTTATTATCTCTTTCTCCCATCCACATTCCATTTTTATAATACATATTAGTAAATAAAAAATCTTGCAAATAAAACAAACACTTTTTAAAATTAGTGAAAAAAAAAAAAAAAAAAAGAAAAAAAAAAAAGGAGGAAAGAGGAAAAGGTAGGGAAAGAAATAGGACCACATGTGTTTCTTTAACGAGATTGCAAAGAATAAAATATACTACTATTATTACTAAAAACGATAACTTTGAATGACCCAAAAAAGAATGACAGAATCTTACAAGAAACCGTGTCAAATGCGCGTGGAAAGAATAGGATTCAATTTTCTTTATTTGTTTATTAAACAGACATCTTTTTCCTTTGTATAAACACATACATTACACATAAATCAAACATCATGTGTTCACATGTACATAGACTCGTAGGTGGTGTACCTATCTTTGATTTGTCACGCTTAGGAAAAGTGTAGTTAAATGCTGAAATTCGTGACCAATTGACACAGACCACAAGTTCATATATATATATATATATATGCTCTTCTTCATTTTCAAAACTTGTTTGTTTTGCATGCCATGTGCTATTGATTGTCTTCATCTTCAAAACTTGTTTGTTTGGCATGTGCTATTGATCGTCTTAGTACACATGTGCCACAGTCGGATCATGTGGTGATCACTTCAATGTGCATGCTTTATCAACTCATACAAACTTGTGAATACATCATTATGAAAATTGATTGAAATATTAATCTGAGGGAGCATTTGTAACTCTAAAAATAGTTTTTTATTTTTAAAAAATTATATAAAAAAATTTTGTTTGGTTTAATTTTTTAAAAATTATTTTATGAAAATTCAGTTATAAAAAAGACCTATTTTCATATAACTGTCTTTTATTATTTTCTGAAAATTATTTTCTGTTCTGTAAATTGTTAAAAACTGTTTTTAAAATTACAAACCAAGCATTTCCTTACTCTTGGCATTTCAAATATTTTTAAATGCAAATAATTTTTTAAAAGAGTATGTGAATATCAATTAAGAAATAAAAAAAATAAACTAATTGACATATAGATAGGTTTTTGTTACCCAACTATCTCACACTGAATCCAAAAGTAGTTAATTGTGCTGTCTTGTGACCAAGCCTAATTCGAATTCAGTTTATAAGTGGGTATTAGTAGCCTAGTAAATGAGGCAAGGTTCAGCCACTGATCACTTTAAATTAGGAATTATTTTGTTTCTCTTTTTAAATTACTTGCAACTTTTATATAATTATGTAATTGATTTACTAATATTTGGGTTTTCTAATGGGAATGAGCTTGTGACATTGTATCATTGTGGCCCATGGATTTGTGACAATCGGTGGACCCGCATGTGGGTTCTAACTTAATTTTAGAGCTGTACTCAGGTAACATGAAGTCCACATGTCCAAGAAAATGTCAACAAGTAATTGCTGGGAAAGAGAGAAACTACTTTAACAAAAATCTAAAGTCAACACGGTTTCTCTCAGAAAATTCATAACCTAATTGACTTTAAATCTCCATATAATAAGCCAATATTCCAGCACAGTTGATGGGGACATGGGAGGTTCATTCCTTAGCACCTGTCTAGTATAAGCCACCTCTAAACAACTCAAAATATCATTTCAATGTATAAGCTAGAGGTTTTACATCAAATTAGCTTTAATCTAGACTAATTTTGTATTTACAGGAATATTGTAACCATGTTACACAGAAAAACAAAAAGCCCAAAAAAAGATTTAAGAGTGGCCAATATCAGAACCCTGCTTACAAGCAAAAAAAATCACTCAGAGAAAACCACTACCCTTTAAGGGAACTTGAGCTCTCAGTTCACTGGAGAAAAAACACATACTAGTTTTGTTCTACCTAGCCAGTTACAAGTATTAGATATGCTCTTCCAATGTTAGTAAAATGTGTATCAATCTACTAATCTACAATTCCCCATTTCCCTCGTACATGTTAACTTCTGTAACTGCAGGACCACCTTCGTTTTCCTTTTCGTTTCTCTTCTCCCGGATGTCAAACTTCCTTAGGTGACAGTGTCTCCATAAATGCCCCCTCTTCCCACAAGCGTGGCAGATTATGGCCTTGTCATTCTTCTCTGTCTCACACTGCATCCCTGGTCTCTTCATTTCACTTCTTTGACGTCCAAGCTTATTTTCTAGCTTTGAGTCTGCCCCATGAGCCCTCGTAACATGCTCCATTTTCTTGTCTTCATTGCGAGACTCTTCTTCAGTTCTCAGACGATGCATCAACATATTGAGAGAGAGGAAATCCTCGTGCATCAGCTTAGTGCGACACTCCTTCCAAGATGGGGGAAGCTTGGAAATGATGACACTAATGTGAAAGTTCTCATCAATCCACATTCCAGAGGCATTAATAGAATGGACAATGTTATGAAGCTCCTGAACTTGCTCAAGAATGGAGATCCCATCAACAATTTGAAACTGGATATATTTGTTCACTTGTGATCTCTTTGTTCCAAAATCATCGTCATAAACTAATTCGAGTTCTTCCCAAAGCTCTTTAGCACTGTATGTTTTCTTTGAGTATTGATAAAAAAGATGATCGGAAAGAGAGCTCAAGATGTGGCGACAGCAAATGTAGTTATCATCTACCCACTTTTGTGCAGCATCTTTCGCTTGAGAAATTTCTTCAGAACTTGCTTCCGGGCTCAAGGCAATAATTGGGCAAGGATCAGTGAGCACATAAGAAATATTCAATTGCTTTAGGAAAAATCCCATCTGGTGAGCCCAACAATAATAATTTTTCCCATCAAGACGGGTGGTCTCGATAGGAATGAGTCCTTGAGGAGCAAAAGCAGTCATTGAATTAGACATATTTGCTTCAACTTGTTTTCTCTCTTTAGGAGTGAGTACTTCAGGAGTAAAAGCAGTCATTGAACTGCACATATCTGCTTCGATTTGGTTTGTTTCAAGCAGGATTCCTTGAGGAGCAACTGCAGTCTCCGGATTAGAGGCATCTGCCTCAATTTGTTTTCCAACTGCTTCAGATCTACAATGCATTAATTTGTAAATCCAAGTCAGTCTATCATTGAAAAATATGCATTTCAGCGACATATATTATATAGGAAGACAAGAGGAGTGGCATCATCTAGCTATAGCAAATGTCAAAACATAATTCCGGTTTGCTCAAATAATTACTTAATTCGAGACAGCACCCTTGAAGTCCTCCAACACTCGTACTAATGGAATTTTTTAATCTAAAATAACCTTTTTCTAATGCCTGACAAAATCATATTTGAAAGAAGAAAACTCCTGCTAACTTCAAGTTCCAAGATGGATATCTCACCTTAGCCGTGATCCCATCTTCCCAATTGCTTCTTGTATTGCAGGAATACTCTTCTTAAAGGCCAACCATTGCTCAGTTGTCAAGCTAATTCCTGAGTGTAAAACAGAAGCAAACGTTATTAGCATCATCCGAACAGCTACGTAAAGCATGATGAAAAGGAAGAACACTGAATATGCCTAAGAGTAAATTGGTTGCAACTAAATATTGATCCTTGTATAACAAACATAACTGGTGCTATGCATACATTAGATGCAGGATCATCTGATGGAGGATCTTTGCCACTTGCATGTATAATTTTCATTTTTTTTGGAAGGGGCAGATCGTAGCCCTTCCACGGGTCCTCACACTTAAAGGATAATTATCTTTTGCCTATATGACATAACAGTGGAGCTGGATATCAAAGACAAAACTTGATCACACCATACAAATGGTATTTACCTATTCAGGCACTAAACTTCAAATTTATCCTCTTTTGGTATTCCTAGCGATAAAAGCTTAGCCATAGAATGAGTTTCACTCCATCCACCAAGATGCTGGCATGCCAGAAAAAGTAAAAGACCAATTTGTGTTGAGTAAAGCTATTAAGAGATCCCTCTTGTGACACCAACCATGAGCTTTCTATTTAACCATGGGATAGAAACGGTTTTTTGAGATCTGTGAAAAGTCAAATGAATCATTTAATACATCATTCAATTCAGTGGTTAAATATGAAGAGCTCGTGACTATTGTCATGAAGGGTCCTCTTGATAGCATTACTCTTTAGAAATTGAAGGAGTTAATGCCAAATTGGAGGTTTGGAGAGAAGCTTTAGAAGTAAAAGGGTTTAAGATATGTCGAAATAAAACTGACTATATGGAATGTAACTTTAGTAAATCTAAAAAGAGAGATGAGGATGTACTGAGGATTGAAAACCAAGAGGTACAAAAAGGTGAATATTTTCGTTATTTAGGATCAATTATTCATAATGAGGGAGAAATTGGAGATGACGTTATCCATAAAAACAAGACGGGATGGGTTACCATACTTTATGGTACCAAATGTTGGGCAGCTAGGAAACAACATTTGCATAAAGTGAATGAGGCAGAAATGTGAATGTCGAGATGGAGGTGCGATAAGACTAGACAGGATAGAATAGAAATGATTACATTCAGGAGATGGTTGGAGTAGCACCAATTGGAGATAAAATGAGAAAAAATCTGTTCTGATGGTTTGGACATGTGCAAAGAAAACTTTTTAGTGCGCGGTTTGGGAAACGTGACATAGTCCACATTGAGGGTAATATTAGGGGAAGAGGAAGACCAAAGTTAACGTGGATAGGGTTAGTAAAGAAAGATATGATGGCATGGGATTCAAGTAGCCGAATCCAAGTAATTGGAAAAAGGCTTGGGTACCCATATTGGAACATGGGTATGTGATATGAGTCCAGCACATCTGGTTGGACGTGCATCTATAATATTTCAAGTTCAATAAATAAATAATTGTACATAGAACTCTGTTCTTATATTCCTTTTGTTACATCACTATAAAAAGAGTAAAAATATCTATTAATCTAGAAAATATATCAAAGAATATGATTTTTTAGCAGTACTCCATGTCCTTGAAAAAGTTTAAAAATTTGATAAATCTGATACTTAGTCACACCCGGGCACCCAATATATGGCAGAGTCCATGTAACATGGCCTGGAATAAAAGAGTTTTTTCAAGTGAATTTAAAGCAGTAAAACCATGATGGACGAGATGATTAACATCATCTAAAGCAGGTTATAAAAGGTCTTAAAAGGTCTATTGCAAATATAAACCTGCAATAGGGAATGCTCTAAACGTTGGGTGTCATAGTTTGATGTTTGAGTTGCTGGTCCTGGTAGTAACTGCAATAGGTGGTATATTGACTTTCTCAGTTTCATGGTATAGGCTTGTTAATTTAGATAGGTTGTGTGTCCAGGGCCCTTTGCCTTCCTAATCCTTAGTCCTACCAAGTTCCAGGGTAGAGAGGTATACAACTCCTTATAACAGATTTTTCTTCATCGAATATTTGCTTATGTAACTATAGATAAAGAAATGTATCAAATGAAGTTTCTAGTCACCTACCATAAATAAATAAATAAAAAATGTTTAACGTCAAAACCCATGAATGCATAAGCAACGTAATAGTAGATATGAGACTTATCAGCCTCATGGTAGCATCCCTGATCCTGATAATCTAAGCAGTAGTCCACAAGAAAAGCTGTCCAAGAATCACATGGAACGTTGCCCTGTGAGAATAACAATACTGCAGTCCATTAGCTGGACACAGATCCAGTACGCTGGCTTCTAACTAGACAGTAGAAGAAACCTGAACATATTTTCCAAAAATCAACTACGAGATTTCTGGCTCAGGTTTCTTTCTCGATCTCAATTTTGAAGTGATTACTGATGTATAGTATCATAAAGCACACAAAAGCATTCTAGCAAGACATGGTTGAAAATAGAAGGCATAAAATACTATCAAGTGCATATTTAATGCTGTTAATAATCCATTTCAAACAGAAAACTGCATTAGACTAGCAAAGAAGATAAGCAATGGATTCATTTAACTTTTTGAGAGAGAAAAGAGAAAGAGTGCGAGTGGGTGAGTGATGTTAAGAGAGATATAATGTCACCTTTAGCAGTAGGAAACCGCTTTCCATGTTTTTGATAGTAATCCCTAATTGTCACATATTTTTTTCCTCTGAAATCATGAATTGCCACGTTCCTGTTGTCTGACAGCTGACACAAAACGAAAATTCTTTTGAGAACACCAACAACATAAAGCGTAAACTGATCTTATAATTTACAAACTCTAGCATTCAATTTTATGCCCTAAGAAGAACGGATACTTCTATGAGGTGTTGTGACACTTCATGGACACTCCTGGACACGTCTCCGACACTTCATGACTGTGTTCATAATTTAAAAATAATTTTTATTATTTCGAATACTTGGTCGACACATATTGGACACTTGGCCAACACATCTTGAACACGTGGTCAACACATTCCAAAAACTCGAATACATATCCCACGCTTTGTCTTATATAAAACAAACATATGGCGGTCTTAGAAATAACATTATGAATATATATATATATATATATATATATATATATATATATATATAACAAAGTGTCCAACTTCTTTTTCTATAAAAATTGACATTAAACACATGTCATGGTGTGTAATATGAACAAAACATTACTATAATGACAAGATAGAATAGTAATATCATATATAATATAATATATTCTTTTTTATATTCAAATAGTTTCACCTTCTAACTAACTTATGTGACCTTAAGATAGAAATAATAAAGTAATTGAAGTTCTATAATTGTCTTAATCAATAGATATATAAATGAAAACTTACATTTATATTAGCCGTGTCCATGTCTTTAACTTTTTAGAATTTGACGCGTCAGCTTATTCGTATCGTATCGTGTCCATGCTTCTTAGTTCATGCCCATCTTAATGTGAACTATATCATCCTCTCAAACTAAAAGAATAAGTAGGTTTAGCTATAGTATCTTCTCCCTCAGTCACTACATGCTGAATCTAGTCTTAAAAGTGCAAAAGCTTTTAGTTGCTATATACATTCAATACATCTAGATACATATACCTACATGCATACATATGTTTGTGTGTATTGCAAAGCCACATCAACTAATCCCGACATATGCAACAGGCACAGTTGGGAGTAGATTTTCGTTTTCCCAAGTTCTAAATATCCAAAACGACGAGAATCAAAATCTCACTCGCTTTCTACATTTAAGAAACAAAACAGAGCACTATTTCACGTTTTCATACTAATGTGAGTAACGTTTTGAACAGAAAATAAATGATAAAAATTAAGCTTAATCAGCACTTCTGTTGTAGTCACTTCTCCATATTTCACTAGCCATATACTAAAACTAGGGTTTAAAACAAGAAAGATACAGATAGGCATTATTATTATCAAGATTAAAACATTCAATCTAGAAAATTTTAAAACATTTAGACGAGGTAAAAAAAAATCCTAACTTTATAGACATTGCATTTCGAAGTACGGAATTAGAATCGGAGGAAAATTAGTTCAAAGATTGAAGTAATTTTCCTGCAATTTCATGCCATACAATACAAACATAGATTGAACCTCATATAAGTCTGGTAGAACAAAAATAAATAAATAAAATAAAATCGTTCATTTTCTTAAACCTTCCCAGGGATTTTAGCACTTCAACTCACTTTGTATATAACTTCGGCTCCACCATCGTTAACGTGTTTTGCATCAACATTCGACCTGGTCTCTTGTTCTTGTACAACTTCTTTGGTTTCTTCTTGGGCTTTGTCATCCAACGAAAGAAGAAAAGACTCGACGGCGCGTCTGACGAGTCGCTTGTGGTCCATGCCAGAGAGGTCGATGCCGACCCTCTCGGCGGCCATGGTTCGGACCTTGTACTCATTCACCTCTTCCAAGTCCACATCTTTTAAGATTTCGATCACTGTTTCTTCGATTTTTCTACTCTGGGTCTTTGGTTCCATATCTAGGGAAGAAACCCAAGAGCCAGACAGACTCAGATTGCCCCGTGAAGGACTCGATTTGGCACAATTAGAAGAGTACTGAAATTGAATCGGTGTCAGCTTAGAGAGAAAGATATATTTGACCCGGTTTCAACAGGGTTTATTAGATGCGGAGTTCGTGGAGTGGATATGGAAATTTGACCCGGTTTTAACCGGGTTTGTTGGATGCAGAGTTCATCCTGTGTCTCAAATCAGTCAAACCCAATTTGTTGAATCAGCATGACAACATTTAATTACCCAATTTATTGAATCAGGATTCTCTCCGGTGTTATTTTTGTCCATGCTTAATACAATAATTTAAAATTGTGAATCCAACAACTTTCTGTTAAAAAAAAAAAATCCAACAATTTAAGTTAACATTACAACAATTATATAATTGTGTTAAATATTTTATGGTGTTGTATTTTTGATATAAATATACTGTGTAACTTTGTAATAGTTTTTGTATGAACGTTAATACAAAAATAAAAAATGATTCTTACACCAATTTATGATAACGATTGTTAAATCTACTTAAAAAATGAAATTGACCATCCAGTTAATTGTATTATATATAAATAACTAATAAAAAACATTCTATTAAATAATTCACGACAACAAATATCACTAATTGTTTTAATCTAAAAGGTAAGGGTGTTATATTTTGTGAAGTTGTGTTGCATTGTGAGGTTGTGTTGCATTGGTACAAAGGATTTTCTAAACACGAGGATTCAGTATCCAATTTGTTAAGTCAAATGTGAAATTTGCAGTTAATTGTCATTTGTGTCCTTTAAATAAAATACACCTTATGCATCGTCTTCCAATTTAAAGAATGAATCATTCAATTTTTTATATTGTTAATCCAACTTTGAATATTACTAATTCTCTGACATTTTCTGAATTGTAAATAATCAATTAAGTACAAAATTGGCTCAGAACTCTAAATTTTCCCTTGACATAAAGAATTTATTAAGTCAACCTTGAAGGTCTTAATCATTCATAGCCATAGACAATATATTTGGATTTACTTACCCAAAAAAAAAAAAACAATATATTTGGATATTTTCAATAATATATATACACACCATAGGAGAAAGACCATGCAAATGACATTTCTTTGAAGTAGAAGTATGTTTAGAACAATCACACTTGGCATGTGCCACCAACTTACAATCTGCTTGTGAAACCTATTTCAATATTACTGATTAGCTTCATGGATCCATAATTCACCAACACTGCATGTCAAGATCATGATATAGCTAATAATTCTTTATTCTCTACTTAACCCTTTATTAAGAGCCCTCACATATATGTATAAATTATGATATCTGACACATCTGAAATCGCCAAATATACAGGAGTTCCTTTATTCAATCCTTTCCCTTCTTCAAATATCTTGTTCCACGCATCTTCTCTTTGTTTTTGGGCCTTCTCAATTTTATGTAACTCCCAAAAAAGTCATAATCTTCCCCTCTAGGTGAGCAACTAGTATAGTTTGGGCGGGCCCAACCTCAAATGGGGCTTTGCAAAGGAGGACATATATGATTGTCATTGTTGGTGATGATGGATTTAATCACATTTGCTTCAATCCTTCTATTTGTAGCTCTCGTTGCATGGCTCATGAGAGTGTCCAACTACAAAGCTAAGAGGCTCCCTCCCGGCCCACCAAGATGGCCCATTGTTGGTAACCTTCTCCAGCTGAGCCAACTGCCTCACAGGGACCTAGCTTCATTTTGTGAAAAATATGGGCCCTTAGTCTACCTCCGGCTAGGCAGCGTTGACGCCATCACAACCAATGATCCGGACATCATACGTGAAATACTTGTCCGGCAAGATGACATCTTCGCATCCCGGCCACGGACACTCGCCGCCATCCATCTCGCCTACGGCTGTGGCGATGTGGCCTTGGCTCCGCTAGGCCCACATTGGAAGCGAATGAGGAGGATTTGCATGGAGCAGCTACTAACAACAAAGAGGCTTGAGTCATTTGCAACACACCGGGCCGATGAGGCCCAACATCTTGTTCAAGATGTTTGGACCCGGGCCCAAACTGGAGGGGCTGTGAACTTGAGGGAGGTGTTGGGTACTTTTTCAATGAACAATGTTACTAGGATGTTACTAGGGAAGCAGTTTTTTGGGGCCCGGTCAGCAGGCCCACAAGAAGCCATGGAGTTCATGCACATAACCCATGAGTTGTTTTGGCTTCTAGGCTTGATTTATTTAGGTGATTATCTTCCATTTTGGAGGTGGGTGGACCCTTATGGTTGTGAGAAGAAAATGAGGGAGGTAGAGAAGAGAGTTGATGATTTTCACATGAAGATCATTGAGGAACACAGAAAGAAGGAATTTGGAGGAGAGGAAGATGATGGTGAGATGGACTTTGTTGATGTTTTGTTGTCTCTGCCAGGTGAAGATGGAAAAGATCACATGGATGATGTAGAGATCAAAGCCCTAATTCAGGTCTCTCTCTTTTTATCCTGACAATCAAAATTTATTACACGACCTTTAATAAAATATGAATATCTTATATCTCACGTCGCTGTGAGCCCACCACAACTGTTGTGGTGGTACCTATGTGAGAAATTAGACTAATCATATTCATTGCTTAACATTCAAAAATATTAATACATATTTTTTCCTAAATATATTAATAAATGAGATCACCTCCCAAGTTAAATGAAGTGATTATGAATAATTTATATGGTGTCCTGTATGATGAAATGGCACTTCAGGATATGATAGCCGCGGCTACAGATACTTCCGCTGTGACCAACGAATGGGCAATGGCAGAGGTAATCAAGAATCCACGCGTCCTTCGCAAGATCCAAAAAGAGCTTGATTCGGTGGTGGGACCCAGTCGAATGGTCTCCGAATCAGACCTGGTCCACCTTAATTACCTACGCTGCGTCGTACGAGAAACCTTCCGCATGCACCCGGCTGGACCCTTTCTCATCCCACACGAATCAACACGTGCCACGAATGTCAACGGCTACCACATCCCCGCCAAGACACGTGTCTTCATCAACACTCACGGCCTCGGCCGGAACACCGCGATATGGGACGACATCGACGAGTTCCGGCCGGAGAGGCACTTGCCGGCTGACGGGAGCCGAGTCGAGATAAGCCACGGAGCCGACTTCAAGATAGTACCATTTAGTGCGGGTAAGAGGAAGTGTCCCGGCGCGCCACTGGGAGTGGTGCTTGTGCTGATGGCTTTGGCTCGGCTCTTTCATAGCTTTGACTGGACCCCACCTGATGGGTTAAGACCTGAAGATATAGATATAAGTGAGGTTTATGGTATGACAATGCCGAAGGCTAAACCCTTGATGGCCATAGCTAAGCCACGATTGCCTACCCAAATGTACCAATGACAAAATATACCTTGTGCACAATGCTATTTCCTAATGTTGAAGATTCTTAGTAAACAAATAGATTGTAGTACAATTCTGCACAAGCTGAATAATACATTTTTCAATGTAAGCATTGTCCTGTTTTACTAGTATTCTCTCTGATTATGGTAACCTGAATGAATGTTACTTGTTTGTAGATATGCGCGAAAGAGATCTGGTTTTCATATGTTTGGTTTCATGCACTTATTTTCTTCTTACATTTGAATTCATTATTTATTTATTTATTATTATTTCAAATAGAATTCAAGCTCCAACCATCATGTTTCTTCGTCGCATTGCAGTGGCATTACCTCTATCAAGAAGGTTCTTCAGCAGTAATAGTAGTAATGAGCTTGCAAGCGCTATTGCAGAGTTCAATGAGGTATAATACAGTATTTTGTTCCGCTTAAGCTCTATGTTACAGTATTTCGATATGGTATTGCCTATTGGAGCTTTTTGAACAATGCCTAATATGATAATAATACCAACGTTATATATCACTAATGGATAGGGTTCATGTGGTTTCGTTGTCAATGTTTTGCACTGTTAGAATGACACTTGAATTTAGATTAGGAAGTGATGGCCGCTCCCCTCTGTTGCATTTGTCCGTATCACGTTGCATTGCATCATGGAAAGGAAGGGTGCTGCCATTCTGGCACATTTAATTTAAGGTTAGATTAGAACAGTTTTCATGGGTTTATGTGGTTCAGAAATTTTGGTGATGAGATTAGGATCCTCTCCGCTAATCACTAATTTCTGCTTGTGCATCCAATGGATAACAGTCAATCTTTGATTTGTACTAGTGAGTCAGTGACGTGCCATAATGCTGTCCACTCAAGGCAGTGGGCACCAGCAAAAAATCAGTGGGGGCAATGTGATGAAATATAGATACTAATGCCAGAAGGCCCTAAAGAGTATGGGACAATTTAAGAAGCAAAAGAATAAGTTAGTATGTTCAAGCATTTATTTTCCCCACTAAATGCTCGAATTATTAATATTTAGAACCACAGCACTTTGGAATAAAAATGCTTTATTATTATTAAATCTCATGTTAAGAATAATGTATGTCTCTGTCACACTTTTGATGTGAAGAAATGGTTGCCTCTTGCTACAACCTCATCCGAAAATAAATGCTTTAATCATTAATTAGAATTTAGAACCACAGCACTGTGGAACAAAAATGCTTCAATTATTATTAAATCTCAAGTCAAGAATAATTTATGTCTCTGTTTCTCTTTTGATGTGAAGAAATAGTTGCCTCTTGCTACATGCTCATCCTATGATCTATATGCTCATCTTGGTTTCCAGCTAATGGAATTTGTGCTTGGTGAACCTCCTTCAACGAGTCATGCTTATTCCATTTAAAACCAATTTATGGCTCAAGATTCACAGTTTTTATCTCCGAACGTAGTGGAAAAAGAAATTGGTTTGACCCACAGTCGTAGCAAGGGTGAAGCCCAAATGGTAGATGTCTCTCCCAAAGAAATTACTCAGAGAGTCGCTATTGCTAGTTGCAAAGTTATTCTATATAGGAAGGTCTTTGATTTGTTTTCAGCCAACCAAATAGCCAAGGGCAATGTCCTTGGTGTGTCAAAAATTGCAGGAATAAGCGAGGCAAAGCAGCAAGAAACCTCATCCCGCTATGCCATAACATCAGTTTGACTCATGTTTGTGTTGATCTAGCACTGAATCCTAATGATTTTTGTGTTGAAATAAAAAGGAAAGCTGCTTCAACAGGGAAAACAGGGGTCAAGATGGAAGCAATGACAGCAGTGACTGTTGGAGGCCTAACAGTATATGATATGTGCAAGGCTATTTCAAAGGAGATTCAGATTACGGATGTACAACTGGAGTGCAAAACTGGTGGAAAGAGTGGAAACTGATCTAGGGAGAAATGATGGTTTCCATGGAAAAACTACTGCTTTATTCAGTTAAATGGAGTGCAGGTTAGTGCTTCATGCTCATTTACAAAACACATCAGAATGAAAGCGTTCTATTTTTTTGTTCTCTGCATTTGAAGCCACAATACGAATTGATGCATGAAAATGAAAAGAACCAGAGTTACCCAGTTATAAAATCTTCCTGTATCTCATGAAATCCTAACTCTAAAATTACAGATGTAAGAATATGTGTGGCTTCACTTATTGTTGCTTGCTTTTAATCTTTTTAAGTAGTTGATTCCTTCAAATGTAATGACATCATGTGCTTGGCATCACTTATTCCTATTAAGTATGTTTGGTTTGAACTTTGTTTTCCAGTCAGAAGTTAGGGCTTATGAGCAGTACAAAATTTTATGAATAACCAACCACTCCAAACCTTTTCAGGTTAGTTGATGGTCTGTATGACAAACCAGCTCAACAATGCCTGATACCTGTAAACTCTTTTTAACTAATTATATCTTAGTACCTTTTATGGTAAATGTCATTCATGTATGAATAATTCGGGCTATTGATGGTCTGTCTAACAAACCAGCTCAACAATGCCTGACACCTATAAATTATTTTTAGCTCAATATATCTTAACATCTTTTATCGTATATTACATTCATGCATTTATGATTATGTGATGAGATTGATACCATCAAAAGATTTCTACTTGCTGGCAGCTCCCATTTGATAAAGCAAAATTTGATTTTCTTTGTTTCGTCAAAGAAAGGGAAAGTGTTACCAATAACAAATGTATTTAAATATATATATACTGAAGGATTTCTTATCTTCTGAAGAATAAAGTCCTAATTTGGTGGTCTCAAATCTGGAAATATTATGAGTACATTTCTGGTTTCTTTTTTTTTTTTTTGCTTACACATTAAGGCTTTTTTTCTAGTTGAAGGTTCATCTTTATTTTTCCTTTTGCTTTTGTTAAATGCTTGCCCAGTTGCCCCACACTGTTTTTGAAATAAGCTTCAATTATTAGGGGTAGAATATAGTGTTATTGTGAAGTCCACTCACATGGTTTCATTTCACTTGATCACTATCCTCCTTTTAAGACTCTCTTCTATTTCACATATATGCTGTTGTACCTAGCACTTTGATTTATTTTCTACTTCAGTTTTCACTCTTTTTTTTTTGTCTACTCTTTTAAGTGTCTGAAATGATGTTCCATCATCTTACCACTGTTTCTCTCCACCCAGAGTTGCAACTCAACCTCTATTTCACTTGGGGGTAAAATGAGCATTTGTTCCTGCCACTCCGTGATCTCTCTATGTGCGTATGTGTTTCTGTTAGTGAATTGTGTATTGACTAGTGCTACTCTGACCGAGGATTTCAACCGAAATTCCTCACCTAACGCTGTTTATTGGCGAGATATAAGGAAGTATGGGTCTCACTTCTTTATATTTTGCATATCCAACCAATCAATAATCTTCGGCTAAACATTTAGGTTAGAGTAAATATCACTAGGATCTAATAAGAATATATTTGGTAAATCCATATTGGTTTAAAAAACAGACCTTAATTACTCTCCCAATTTCTGTTTAGGGCTCAGAGAGGAAATATCACTAGGATTTAATAAGTATATATTTATATATATAACAGACATTTGGCTGAACTTGGTAAAACTAGGTTTTTGAACGGATGATGTTTTCTCTTACATTGCCTCATGAATTATAGTGTATGGATATGTATATGTTGGATATAGTGTTGTTAAAAGGAAATGCATGGTCCCGCAAGGAAATGAAATTGCAGAAATTAAGGCTTGTACCATTTACTGCAGAATGTAGCTATTGCTCATCAGGCGCAATAACGCTGCACCAAACGAGTCCTTAGGGCAGCCTACCAACATAGCCCTAGTAGCATTCATGCTCAGTATCAAATATCAATAGAACAAGACTAACAATCCTAACCATTTATATGACTAGTTGGAATCAGGTGGAAAATGTACATGAACCTTGTGCAAATGAAAATATATATATATAAACAAGAAAAGTAGTTTCAATAACACAAATATACGTCCATATATGCACACATATAGTTAAATGAGCTTATAAGAATAAGGAGCGTGAGAAAAAAAAACTCACCGCAAAGAGGTTAAAAAACATGGAGGGGATGAAGTTTTTCACAAGAGTCTTGAAGTGGGTTTTGACTTGAAAATGGACATTTGGAGATGAGTGTTTTAGAGGTTGATAATGTGGGTTTTGGAGTCGAAGGTAGAGTAAATAATTACCACTTCTTTTTTAATTTTCTGAAAACAATTTTTTTTTTATATATATAATTAAGTTGTTATAAAACAGTAAAACAACTAAGCACAGTTTGAAACTAAACATGGTTTTTGTACAAATTTCTTAGGCACTTATAATTTCACGTGAGATTTGCATAGTTTTCAAGTCAAACAATGACATTTCAGGTTTGAAAGTTGTGATCATAATAATAAAGTATTTCTGTGATGAACTGAACTTCTGTTAACATACACAAGCACTTTACTTGTTTTTGAAACAATAATATATATAAATAAATAATAATAATACGGTTCAGTGCACGATTGAATTATTTTAGACTTGAAATATAAAATTCGATGGAAACTATATGTCAAATCAGAGATACCTAGAAACATACTTCAAATTCATATTCAAATGTGTCTAATTACCACTACGTACTACTAGGAAAGTTTAGGTAAACATAAAGCCGTAAAGTTAATGGCACAAAACTCTCGTACCATCAAACATTTAAAACTGAACTTCATCCGAATAAACTCTTTGATCAACCTGAAAGTCAAATGTGACAGCCTATCCTTGTCTTCCAAAGTTAAAACCTCAATTGATCTTATTTATGCTTAAATTCAAAAATAAAAAAAATAATTATAACTAATGAAACATTCAAAGAGTACAAGGGTCATTTTTTGTAAAAATGACAGGTAACAGGTGTGATCGACTATATGATTATTAATTATTTGAAATTGAAAAGTGTGATGATTTATTTAAGTAACAATTTACGTAATATTATTATGACATTAACTTTTACTTACATAAATTAATTGAATTTCTTAAACTCTTTATTATTTCTTTCAATATAGTTATTTGAAATGAGATTTAATTAATGAAATTTGATGTGATGGAGTTTTTTTTTTTTTTTTTTTTTTTTGTGGGCATTTTGCCCTAAATATGTTTAAGTATGCTAACGAAATTGGGTTAAAGCCATAAATAAGATTAATTCCATAAAATTGAAAATGACAATGATGGCCCACTCTGGTATAATTGAAGTGATGGTGCAGCTGTTGCTGTTTTAGGTGATAAAGTTAAAGTATTAGTATACTTCTTACTTTAATATGGTACCACTACAGTACTACTACGTGCCTACCCTACCCTACAGCTGGTTACATCACTACTGATTTCTTGCTAAATGCTAACGAAGCCCAACTCCCAAGTAAGATATATCTTTTGGACCCCAAATAAAACAAAGATATATCTTTTGGACCCCAAATAAAACAAAATAAAAGTATAGGACTAAATATTCTCTCTAATACTAGTATAAAATAAAATCAGATATTTATATTTCACTTTTTTTTTCTTTTCTTTTTTTTTTTTCATTTTAACAATAAAAATTGTAGAGTAATTGATAAGAAATTCCAAAGATATAGTTGTCAATTTTATTTTTTGGTTAAAATGGCAGGTGGAATGAACCCATAATTTATATTTTAATAATTTTTCATCCTTTAATATAGTGGATAAATTAAGTGTGGTTTTCACATTAATTAAAAGAACAAATATCCCTTCGAGTAAGGGTCTAAATAGTATTGTTTTTTCTCCTTCATTTATTAAAAAATTAAGGATTTTCTCTTACAAAAATGGAGAAAACTCTTTTCTTTTTCTTATTTTTCTTAACCTTTTTATATTTAGGTCTCGTTTGGATGGGAGGATTTGGGAGATAGGAATAGGTAAAGAAAAGAAAGGATAAGGAATGGTGTTTTTGGACGGGAGGATTTGATGAGAAAATAAAGGAATAGGAAGGTCTTCCAAATCTCTGTATTGTGTTCATCCAAAAATGAGGATATTACCAATATTGAAAATAAGTATTGGGAGAAAACTACCTCAAGTATGCAATTTTTCAAATATTTCCAAGCAATCTCCTCAAAATATCAATATCAAGTAAGCAAATATAGTCCTCCACACATCAAGAAAATAATCATGCAAATTAAAACAACTCTATAATCCTTTTTAAGTGGACCGGCATCAAATGTGTTGCTATCTAAGCCAACTAAAGAATTAATCACATCCTTACCCTCAAACTAGCACACAAATCTAGTACCGATCATCAAGACAAAAAGTGGACCTTTTATTAAAACTTTATTGTTCTAGGATGGAAATATTGTGCAATGTGTTGATCTATTAAGCTTTCTAACGATTCATGAGGTCGAGCGTTAGGTCAATGACTCCCAAACCAGACGGCTTTAGGGCATTAGGCGTTTAAACACCCCTACGGACTCACAAGCTCAAATCAACTAGGTTACAAATCAAGACAACCTCCATCTAATCATTTCTCACTTCTCACCTTTTTGGAGACATGTGGGACACGTATTGTTTGTCTAAAAAATTATTAACTTGCTTTTTTAAGTTTTGAATATTGAAATTTTAAACTCAAAACACATATATAGAAAGATGTGAAATATATTATTAAAAAATAAAAGTGTACTTTTATTTGGGACAAATAAAAAAGAAAAGTATGACACTTATTTTAGAACGAAAAAAGTAGCATTTTTTTTTTAATCTATCCAAACTAATTTATTGTAATTCTCTTCTCTTTTTTTTTTCTTTTTTTTTTTTTTTCTTTTATCTCTCAAGGAGTAAGTAAATAAGTAATATTGCCATTTTCTTTCACTCCTGCCCTAAGCAAGTCTTAATAAATGATCTGTTCTACTTTAAACAAGTCCTGATAATATTTTTTTCCTTTTTCTTTTTATTATATTGTCGTGATAAATACTTACTCCGTCTTATAATAGTTGTTCATTTTTTTTTTTTTATTGTCCCAAAATATTTGTCCACTTACTAAATTTAAATAATATATTTTACATCTTTTTATAAAATATTTTTAAAATTTTAAAAAAATTCAAACTTGATTATATATATATATATTTAAATTTAAAAAGATAATTTTATAATTTTTTTTAAAAATAATACAATAATTATATGCCTCCTAAAAAGGTTTTACTCTCCGTGAAAGACATAGAGGGAGTAATTCGTACATTTATTTGTCAACATTCCTCATTAATGAGTCGAAAAAACATGAATTCGCGGTTGTAATTTCCAACAAACATTAAGTGAACGGATGTACCCGTAAAATCAGATTAATTTCTCAACCAGATAACTCCAACAGAACAGAACGCCTTTAACACACACTTGACTCTCTCTCTCCATTATTTATACTCCCAATGCGCTCTCTCTGCACACTCACTCTCTTCTCTCTCTTCTTCTTTCTGTAAGATGGTAGGAAAAGCCATGGTCATTGTCTTTTCCTTCTTCCTCCTTTCTCTCTCTACCTCTTTTGCCAAACCACCGCTTCAATACCAAACCCTCATTTTACACTCTCTTCCGCAACCACAGGCCCTCACATGGACCGAACAATCCGAAACCCTAACCGTACCAGAAGAAGCCACCCAAGCGGACTCAAAAACCACCTTTTCCGTCCAATTACACCACCGAGACGCTCTGTCCCTCAATGCCACTCCAGAGACTCTCTTCAACCTCAGACTCCAAAGAGACTCCTTCAGAGTCAAAACCCTAACCACCATCGCCGCCGTCAGCATAAACGCCACGGTACCCCGCAGCAGGGGTTTCAGCAGTTCCATTATCTCCGGATTGGCGCAGGGTAGCGGCGAGTACTTCACGCGCTTGGGCATTGGTACGCCGCCGAAGTACTCCTACATGGTGCTCGACACCGGAAGCGACGTCGTCTGGATCCAGTGCTCGCCGTGCCGGAAATGCTACACACAGACCGACCCGGTCTTCGATCCGAAAAAATCCAAGTCGTTCGTCGGAGTCTCATGCGGATCCCCACTGTGTCGCCGGCTAGATTCCCCTGGCTGCAATCAACGGAAGATGTGCCTCTACCAAGTCTCCTACGGCGACGGATCGTTCACCGTCGGCGAATTCTCCACCGAAACACTGACGTTTCGCCGGACCAGAGTGAAGAACGTCGCACTCGGTTGCGGTCACGACAACGAAGGATTGTTCGTCGGTGCCGCTGGTTTGTTGGGTCTCGGAAGAGGTAAACTCTCATTCCCGAGTCAGACCGGTCGCCGGTTCGGCCGGAAGTTCTCGTATTGTCTGGTGGACCGGTCGGCTTCGTCCAAACCGTCCGCAATCATGTTCGGGGAATCGGCCGTTTCGAGAACGGCGGTGTTCACTCCTCTACTCACTAACCCTAAACTCGACACTTTTTACTACATTGGACTCACTGGAATTAGCGTCGGAGGCGTCCGAGTTCCAGGCATTACGGCGTCGCTTTTCAAACTTGACCCAATCGGAAACGGTGGCGTCATAATTGACTCGGGAACGTCGGTGACTCGCTTGACCCGACCCGCTTATGTAAAGCTGCGTGACGCTTTCCGGGCCGGAGCTTCGGACTTGAAGCGGGCACCGGATTTCTCATTGTTCGACACATGCTTTGATTTGTCGGGGAAGACGGAGGTGAAGGTTCCCACAGTCGTGATGCATTTCGTCGGCGCGGACGTGTCGTTGCCGGCATCAAATTATTTGATCTCGGTGGACAGTAGTGGGAGCTTCTGCTTCGCATTTGCGGGTACGATGAGCGGGTTGTCGATAATTGGGAATATCCAACAGCAGGGGTTCCGGGTCGTTTATGATTTGGCGGGTTCGCGGATCGGGTTTGCACCCCGAGGTTGCGCGTGAGTGGCAGTGGGCAGTGAAGGGGCGTGGGCTGTTTGGGAGTAGGGAATACTTTTTCCCTCTTTTTTCTCAAACAAATCTTTGCTTTAGAAAAAGATAAGAGAAAAAAGGGCACTTCACGTGTTGTTTGTTGTATCAGTAATAGCATCTGCTAAATTATTGCTTTAAATACAGGGGTAACATTGTTCAACACAATTTTTTTTTTACTTTAGTTTAATCCTAACGTTTGGTAACTTGTATTGATTTGGATCTACCAGGAGAGTTTTTTTTAAAAAAATGGTATGGCTTTTTGATTTTGTTTTTTCGGAGCCGAATATTAGAATGAGAAAGTTGTGTTCTAATTTTAGTTTGGTTATGTGAACGGCGTAACCAAAAAATCAATTTTAGAAATGATAATGTTTAGTTATTCATTGCTGAGTAGTTTCACCTTACTCGGATCAACTACTTAATAAATGTGGGTTATTTTTTTTTATTAAAATTAATGTGGTAAATTATTATTGGAACACTGAGTAGGGTGAAGCGACTCATGAGTAACTAAGCATTATTGTTTCAGAAAATGCTGTTTTGGTTTAATAACTGACTTATTATTATTATTATTATTATTATTTCTTTTAACACTTTTGGTTTTAAATAAAAGAACAGGAGGATTTCATTGTTAAAACAGAAGAGTTTTTTTTTTTTTTTTAATGTTTGCAGTTATTTAGTTTAGTGTATCTAGATTTACCCCTCCCCTCCTCTAACATTACTTATGAAACTGTTTTCCTAGAAAGATTTGGTCAAGAGAAAAATCTAAGGCAGCATACTAAGTTATTAGCACGTCTAACTAATCACAATATTAAAAACTGTGAACAATTAATTTAGATAGTGTAGTATATAAATTACATATATATGGCTACGTGGCTGGCAATTTCATTTCAATCACATATATAATGAGAATATATATATATATATGTGTGTGTGTGTGTGTGTGATGGCGATTGGAGAGGTATGTGGGAAAAGTTTTAAGAAATGGGAAAGAATGGAGGGAGACACATGGCTGGGGTAGGGATTGACAAATTGAGAGTAGTGAGGGAAGAAGAAATGGAATGGGACAGTGCTGCCGCACATTTCGGTTGATGAGCATTTTGCACATGAAAGAGCGGGACACATGCACGCCGAACAAAGTACTCAAATTTACTTTGGTGTTGGGTGGCCCCCATTCCCAACATCCTCCTACTCCTCTGTCCACCCTCACGTTATTCATTATCTCAACCTTTTTTTCGGTGACACTTTAATACTTTTACCACCACCATCCTTTCATTAATTATAAATCACCAAAAACATAAATATAAATGCATATTACCTTTACAGTTAAGTTTTATTTTATTTTAAAAATAATTAAGTTCTGTTTTTTTAAGGCACACATAATGAATAATCAAACATATAATATAGGATTTTTTTCCCCACAAATTGAATACAGGATTTTGATTGCTCATACATAAAACATATTTATAAATATTTTTTAGTAATATAATGACAATTATTTATAAATAATTATTTGGAGTTTTGAATAAGTTTGGTTAATTTATGTGAATAAATGATTAGCATCATTATAATATTATTAATATTTTTGATGTCTATACTCGCTTAAAAGTAATAAATGTGTCCATTTATCAAACCCTTTATAATTACTCTTATTTATAACAAATTTATAAATTTAAAACAGTTAAATTACCTAAAGTGTTATATAGAATTCATGAGATATAAAAGTGACATTTTTCTTATCAGAATAAAAATGCAATAACTTAAATGACTGACATCATTATAATACTTTTTCTGTCCCATAATTAATTAGATGTTTTGAAAATTTTGATTCATAAAACATTCGACTATAATGAGACAGAAAGTGTTATTAATATTTTTTATGCTTACATTCACATTTATCTGAATAAATGTGCGGAGTTCTATCTTTAGAACAACGAAGTTACGGGTATATAAAATTTGGGGTCTATAATTGTGGCGATCTATATCAACAGTAGAAATGAAGCGACGCAGCACATGGCAACAGTAGCTTAGTCAAGAATAGGCGCCACCATTATTACACTTCACAACAAAAAGGAGTGCGAAAAGAATAGTCAAATGTGGTAGCTAGCTTGAAAACAAGGTAAGGCCATTCTCTCTATTTATTTTATTTTTTTTAGTTTAGTACAGTAATTGTTTTTGTGCTTTAAATGCTAAATATAGTAAAAAAATAAATTAGAACACTGTAATTTGCTCGATTAAGTTGCAAATGCCATTATTAGATCACGAAGAAAAGGTACTTTCTTTAGTACGTGGTGTAAATGACATTATAATATTACTTAATTGTTAGAGTAATCACATATGACAATGTTCAATCATATGCAACAGAAGCCAACAATTATGCTTGTGAAAAGAGTCAAACTATGCACCATTAATCTCTAATTAAGAAACTTAGTCCATTGCGATTTATCAAAGCATCAAGGGTAGACAAGAGACCATATTTTCTCTTTATCCATGTGCCAGACTACATGATCCACCAGGTGCACATGAATATATATATATATATAGTTAGTTGATATATATATATATATATGATATGAGTCATATTGACCTAATACAAATTATACAAAATTTTATACACACACACACACACAAACATGTGTCTGTATTGACCAAAACAAATACATACACGGATCTTTTAAGAGTTTTAATCTACAATTAATATCTCACTAGGAGTAGGACACACCAATTTTTAATTACAAAATCGGGTTCTGACTGCCAAGACATTCTTAACTTAAAAGCACTCTATTTTCTTCTTAAATTTATCTGGGAACCACATCCGTACTGTACAATAATGTAACGTTCATGAATAAGCATGAATGTGCTGGTTTTGGGCCTGGTTTGTTAAATACTGAATCTGACCAAGCCAGCCAAGCTTAAACCCAAATACCTAGGATCGAGAGATGTGATATCTCACAGCCAGGCCCATGTATATCATTATTCCACGAGAATAAATTGGGTATGCCCGCATGTTGTTGGTATATTCATCCAATCATATAGAATATATAATCTCATTATCAATAATTTTATAAGTAGGTGGGCCAACTTATTTTAAAATAGTACATTATCATTGGGTGAGTATATATTATAGGTAGGCGGACTAACTTTTTTCTTAAATAATGCATTATCATTGGGTGAGTATATTAATGACTATTATTTTACTATTACTAACAAATGAAATTAAGAATCATTTAATTACTAATAGATGTTCCGCTTTTGGAATATGCATCTAAAAACAGAGAAAAAACAAACCTCTTGTTTGCTACGGATTAGAATTATGAGTCGGAGGTCCCTAAATTGAAACCCTTTTTCTGGGTCAGTCTTTCCAACACTTTTTTGTAACGAACAATATCAGAAGGAGTCTGGTAGTTAATGAAGTTAGTGGTGAGACTCTCACCTTTCACTCATAGTTAATGAAGTTAGAGGTGGGACTCTCGCCTTTCACTCAAATCAAAACAATCCGAATTGTTCGACTTCGGACTCTAAAATGTATATAATGGAGAACTTCCACTTATGGTTGGCTTGATTTCAAGTATTTCACTGGTGCTTATGATTTTGACAAATTGATTAGGTTTGTTACAAGTTGTTCTCGAGATCAAAAACCCTTTTTTTTTCTTTTTCTTTTTTCACCACGCTGGGGAAAAATACACACTACCTCCATACCAGCGGCCAATCAAAATTTCGTTGTGATTGGCTGAATATTTAATAAATTTCACTCACAGGTCCATTTGACACTTGGTAAATTAATCTAATAAAAAATAATGATGATTTATTTTTTTTTAATATATTACCACACAGTATATACTCTTGTGAGAATTTTTTTTTCCATCCAATAGTTTTGACTTGGTGTAGAGTACAAAAGTAACTTTAAAATGTTTTGAAATGGTCGGGTTCTTTTAGGCTGCTGGCATGATGAATGGGCCTAACCGTCCGGTTGAGGCCAGAGAGGGTCTACGCGGAGGCCCAAGTGTAGAAAGATCAACTTGTGGAATCAAACCGAATCTTTGTGGGCTGCAATCTTAATCAACTTTAAATTGCGAATACAATAATTACATAAATATGTTAAATAATCTATTTACTAATATTATTACGTTGCCACACAATATAATTACATCGATGTCATATCTTCAATATAAAATGTGTTGAATAATTTTTTTTTAAAAAAAGTAGTTGCATGCGTGTTTATAAATTTTCATATCATTTCATCATCATCTCTGATGGATGTATAATTTAAATATCCATAATTAAGGGAAGATTGCTAAATTAACGCAATATTGAGATAGGCTCTGCAGATTACAAATTGAGATAGGCTTTACAGATTACGATAAGGATTAAAGATTGTGATAAGGATTAAAAATTACGATGAGGATTAAGTCTACAGATTACAATAAGGTAATTCTACGTGACATCTTAATCTAAGCCCTATAAAAAAGGCGGGGTAATCAACGTTTGGAGGTACGCAAAAAACCTTAACTCAAGTTCTTGATTTCTCTTAAGAGATTAGTTCGCACACTGACTTATTCGTTGGAGCCTACTCCACCGGTAACACAACGGTGCTTGTAAGATCACATTTTCTTCTCTCTGTCCAGGAAGTTAGATCAGATCCGGGTTGCGCAGAATCCATCATCAACAGTTGGCGCCGTCTGTGGGAACGATTTTAGTTCTCTAAATAAAGTATGGTTCGATTGCGATCTGGTCTGGTTGCTGGCGAATACGAAGCGTTGCAAACTTCTGATCAAAGGGACTCGACGAGGCAACCCCCCGCCGTCCCAAACGATTAGGAACGCGTCACAGCGTTGGAACAATAGGTTTAAACCTTAAATAAGGGAATGAACCAATTAGTCCAGAAAAATTCAATGATTCTACAACGCTTAGCCGACCTTAATGAGGTGGAGAATAATGAAGTACCCAATAATGACTCCTGTAGGATTAACAACGACGCTGAGCTTAGTCAAATAGGGGGTTAACAGAGAAGCCATCACCATCGGTCTCTTGAACGGAATAATACCAGGCTCCGTGCAGGTACCTCTGGTTGTGTTGGTGACAAGACTGAAGACGTCACTTATTTCAATCTGTAGATGCAAGATCTGAGAACTAGGGTCAAAGACGTCATACAAGCAATGAAAGGGAAGGGCCAGGCCACAGTGAACGATCTGGTACAGAAGACCAACCTAGCATTTAGCCTCGCTGTTATGTTATGAGTTGTCCTCTACCTAGCAAATTTAAGATGCCAACT